TCAGCAAAGCTGGTGGTGCCCCCACCTCTCATGGCCTCGGTAAACAGAGTGTCCTCCGGGTCTTCTTATGAAATATATTCTGCTAGGAGCATCCGTTCTAACAGGTTCACTTCCCTGAGCCTGTTGAGTTCTTCCTTCATCTACCATGGAAGTCATATTATCTTGACTTCACTTAATGTGTCTCACTTCTCTTGCCAAGTACCATCCATATGGTGTATCAGAAGCAGTCCACTCAGGGCCCTTGACAAAGTGTTAGACCTATATTATGGGAGAGCGAGCCCACATCTACAAACCCTTCCTTAACCCCACTCCTGCCCCTTGATGAGGCTTATTTAAAGTTCCTGCTAGTATATATTAGCATGGTCCTGCAAGCTCATTCCATTCCTCCCTTAGCAAGCCTGCAACACTTCCCAAGGTAGGCCATACTGAGGCCTAATTTTATTTTATTTAAAAATTTTATTTATTTATTTAGGCTGTGCCGCAGGGCATGTAGGATCTCAGTTCCCCAACCAGGGATTGAACCCGCTCCCCCTGCGTTGGAAGCTTAGAGTCTTAACTACTGGACCACCAGGGAAGTCCCTGAGGCCTAATTTTAGTGATTGGTCTAGCGGCTACGGGGCAGATCCTGGAAAATGCATTGTCTTGTAGGGTACCTGCCTCATTTGAAGCTTCTGCATAGTCTTCAGATTGGAGGGTGGGAGTTGGCCACTTCTACAGGCCCCAAAGGTTCAGAGGAGTCTGAAGTTCTACCACTGTTTGGTTCTCATCCCTAGTTCCTTCTCAGAGCCCAGACTATGGTGTTGGGGATTGACCATGGCTGAGGAGTTGACCATTTCTAAAGATCAGCTCATTTTAAGTGAGCCTGAGCCTGGTCCTCGGAACGAACGGTCTGCTGTCTGACTGCAGGTGATGGTTACAACAGGCTCCTAAGCGGGTCCACGGGCTTTGCTGTATATTGATGACGGATTGACCAGAGGCAGTCATTTTCCCTCTTTAAAGCATCAGTGACCACCTAATTTCAGTTTAAAAAATTACTATTTCCCCCACATCCTCAATCACCAGAGAGATTGCCTAAGCCAATGTAGCCCCATCTACCTCTCTCCCACCCAGCTCCCCCAAGGTGAGGATCATCACACAGCTGTCAGCATCCCAGCTACCACTTGAAATCCTATCCTTAGACTCTGCTTCTTAGGACCATTCCCGGTACCGACTCTCTAAGCTGGACCACCGAGAAGCAGGGCTTGAGACAGAATTCAGATGCATAGGATACATCGAGGGAGTTTTAAAGGGAATGAAGGGAGGGAGAGGGCAGGGAAGAGTTAGGCAAGGATGTCGTCTCAGTGGGAGATGAGCTTCCTTCTGATTCCATTGGCTCTGGAATGTAAACCGCATCGCAAGACTGGTCACTAATCGAGGCAAGGTCTTTCTGAACCCTTGCGTTGGGGAGCCATTGGTATAGACTGAAAGCGGGGGAGGGTAGGTGGGCTTAGCCTCCCCAGAAGGCAGCTCCCCACCAGCCAAGAACAGTTGTCAGAAGGGGGCAGCTGTGGGTTATTAGCGACTAACATACATAACAGCTGGGAAGGGAATTCATGAGTCAGCCAGCAAAGCGGATCTAGATGGGGCATTAACAGAGCCCACCACCGGCTCCCTCATTATCTGGAGGGCCTTGAAAAATCTAATTTATTCCTCTTTGACACCTTCTGCTCTTTGATCGTGTGATCACCTGGCTTGGGAGGTGGCGCACTTGGCGTCAGTTTACCTCTCGCCTAAAGACAGTTTTGGTCAAGGCAACTGGCTAAGTAATTAGCATAGGTCCCACAGCTTGTAAGAACAGAGGCAGAGTGAAATCTTCTCCCAACAGCGTTCACTTTGGTTTCCTCTGGTCTGGAGGAAAACGAATTTCTGGGGCAAAAGCCAAAGACCCAGCTGTTTGAAGGCAGGGACTTCCTAACGTCCTTTGTTAACTACTCTATTTATGTCATGAGTTTGCACTGAAGTGGCCCCAAAATTCTTTAGAGGAAAAGGGCCTCTATGTTTGCTTTCAAAGCACGGAGGAAGGAGCAGAGGGCTGTGTAACAACCCCTCCCCTCCAAAAAATTCTGTTCTGGAGAGAATGCCAAGGGATTTTTTTTTTTTTTTTAAATCTCTTTTCCTACTCTACTGTATTAAGACGTTAATTGCAGGGGCAGTTCGTCAATAGGATATGAAATGGAAACTGATATTAGAAGCCAAACTTCTCATGTGACTTCCAAAGGAAGCATTTTGAAATAACCACAAAGCTCAGGTGACTGTTAGGCATTTGACTCTTTAATTCCTTCTTATTCTGTATTTAATCACCTGCAAGTCATTTGGAAAAGGCAAGCAAATTACTGGATCCATCCCTATGGCTATTCTGTTCTTCCAAGTCTCTTATTAGTGTTGCCAGGACCGTGCAGGTGAAATTTCATAACCATTCTTCATCAGGAAGTAAATTGTGGTGTTAATCCCAAAAGTGGGTACTGAATTTTGGAGGTTTGGAATTCACCTTTTCCTTTTTGGTTTTCTCAGACAACTTCAGTGTTCTGCTCCAAACGCACAACAGCTATTTCATCACTTCAGTGATTTCTTTCCATAATAGTGAAATTAGCACTACTTTAAAAGACATAGGGGGAGCAATAAGATTCCGATGGCGGCTTCATGGAAGAACAGACACAGGCAGGATTTCTATAAGCAGAAGCAGGAGTGGGGTGTTTGTAGGAAAAAGGAGGTTATGGCTGGGACACAAAAGAGGAGAGAGAACTGTAGGCCTTCAATGCCAGGTAAAGGAGATGAGACTTTTCCGTGGGCCAAGAAAGTAGCTAAAAGCTCTTCGGAGGGGACCCACATCTGACCTGTGTCTTTGAAAGATCATCCTGGCCGCAGCGTGGAAGCTGAAAGAGAGTGGAGTGACGGTAAGGAGACTGTGGGAAGGCGAGGGGCGAGACTAGGAAGGTTGCCCCGGGAGGGCGGGGATTACAGCCCGTGGGTAGGTCGGGTGGGTGTGACCTGGTGTAAGGGGTTAGGTCAGGAAAGGAGAGAGAAGAGAGACAGAGGGAGGACTCGGTCAGTGCGGGAGAGTGCCACGTCCCTAATCAAAGCAGGGAACCCCACAGAGAGGAGCAGGGTCGTGGTGGAGGGGAGATGCCACGATCAATCAATTCGTTTTCTGCTCGACCTCGCGGTGGAGACATCCAATAAGCGGCTGGAAATATGGATCTGGCCCTCCGGAGCAAGAGCCGGTCTTGCTCCGGAAGTATGGTCTGGCCCTCCGTTGCAAGAGCAATACTCGGATCTGAGATGAGATCTTGACGGGATAGGCGGGGGTCTGCCTTTTCTGGAGCCGGGTTTCTCCGCTTCCAGTAACAGTTGTCGAAGTCTGATGGCGCGCTGGAGCACCGCTGGGTCCGGTGTTCTTCAAGTCCGGGTCTCTAGGCCGAGGGGCGTCTCCCGGAGCCGTGTCCATTTGGGGGGGCCAGGTGTCCCGCGTGGGCCGTGCACCCGCGCGGGCCGGACTGAGCGCACACGCCGCAGGGCTCTCTCGGCCCTCCCGTCGCGGCCGCCGAGGGCCGCGCGGTCGGCTCCAGCCGGCCGCTGGGGAAAGACCTCACCCGCCCGCGCCGTACAGCTCGGCTCCACCAATCAGCGCGCTCCTTCCGCGGCCGACCAGCGCTCCAGTGACGCGCGGGCCAGCCTGCGCCCGCGGCGCTTTGGCGATGGCCCCTCCCGCGCTAGCCCGGCTACTTAGCTGCGCGCTGCGCCTCTTGTGCGACGGCCCCTGGGCGGCGGCGCGTGCGGGCGCGGCCTTGGCGCGCCCCCTGGCGGCCCGGCGGGGCGCTGCGGGCGCGGCGCTGACCCGGAGGCGGCGGCGGCGGTGCCCGGATGGAGGCACGTCATTGTCCCCCGCCGGGCGGCTGGGCTGTGTGCGGCGGCGGCGGCGGCGGCGGCCGCCGAGGGGGATGGAGCGAGCGCCGAGCCGGGTCAGGTAAGCTCCCGCCTCTTTCCTGCCCGCCGCTGGCCGGCGTGGGGCCCGCGGAGCGCCCCGCTCGCCTCGGCCGCAGCTGCCCTG